TGGCGGTAGGTATGATAAGAGCGAGAGAGAGAGAGGGAGAGAGTACGGAGAATGAACGAAGCTGATTCTGACTACTAGAATTTCGTTCAAGTACGCAAAATTGCGTGCATAAATTTGATGGTACAACGATGTGAATAACTAATTACCTACCACGCCCGAATGTGAACATGCTATCCTGCGTTTCTGATGACTGAAGTATATTATATGCGGAAATTAGAACGGGTATTCCAACGACACGAAAATAGATTAAGGTACAATGCGGATTGCGAATTCTGAAGTCGTTGGTTGTAATCAATGACATTGACCTCCATTGGATATCAGTGTCATGTGGAACAGTATTAGGAATGAACCCCTCGATCCCGAGGATATGCTATACTAATAAGGAAGCTAGTTCGAGAAAAGCTTGAAACACCCAAAAGCACTGCATGGATCCAAAAGAAAAACAATCTAAAACAATACCCTCCCGCGTTCGAGCGAACGATTCTGCAAGAATTTGATCAGTAAGGTGAAATACAAAACTTGTATGATTGGCCAATTTAATAGTTTTCTATTTCGCCTGGTCGCCGAGCTTGGCAATTGGTTTACTAATGTTTCATCACCAGCCGAGGTGACATCATCAGTGCTTGTGAAGTGGACAGTTCCATTAGATTTGAGTGAAAACTTAGTAATACGGCTTTTTATCCCCTACGTACCACACAGTTCCTTGGCTGTGAATAGAGGCTCAAGCCTCAAGGGAGTGTCGTAAGACAATTGATGGAAATTGATAGAATATCCCACCACTGTGTGGAGCCGAATAGTCGGTGATACACCAAAATCGCCAACCCAAAACCCCGGGGAATTGATGAGGCAGACTTCATAAGGCTCTAATGGGTAAAGAAAACTTCTGAACCGAACGACAATGCAGCTATTCATCGCCAAACTTGGGTGGTGGTGACGGCGGGAATGTTCTAAACTTGAACTCAGAAGCCTGGAACAGACTACTAGTAATGACTTAAACACCTTGACTTCAACAAATCAAGTACTGCACCTCTAAAATGTGAATTCAGTACTGCAACGGGAGTTAACTGGGTGTGCGCGGATGTGCTCTAGGATACTAGACAGCATTGTGGCTGATTCTATCCTCCACACTATTGCCTGTCGGAGACAATATTTCCTCGGAGCAAATTCGTCCACATGTCATTCAGTGTGAAATGTTCCAAATTCGTAACGCTTACTTTTGTCATCATCCCAAATGCAGTGGGCATTCTAGGAAATCCTACTCAAACTGACATTGAGGAATAAATGAGCCAGTCGAATAGCAGTTAAGACATAGGTGTTCCACCCGTAGTACCCCAGTTTTTATACCGCGTCGATTGATGGAGGTCTGTTGCTAGGGCTGACTGGGCAGACTAAAACAACGGTACTGTTCACATTCCCAATATAACGAGCACGACAAACATTCTAAACACAGTCCAAAGTAGGGCAATTACAGTTGTCAAAAACGAAGAAAGCAATGTGCACTTACCAGTCACATTTATCTGTGCAAATGAAGAACTGCGACCCATTCGTATTGGGACCGGAATTGGCCATGGATAGAACACCTGCAATAGAGAAATGTGTAAATCCCGCGAGTAAGGATCGTGTACACGGCATATTGACACAGAAACATGAATCATTGATAGAAAAAAAATCGCGAGACCGAAAGCCGATCAGAAGCAATGTTAGTGTGTGAAGTCAAAAAATTGATGAGTACTGAGTCCCAGAAACGTGTGGTGAGTTAGGAAGTGAAGCTAATCAGGGGAGAAGAACAACTGGTAGACCATTCCTCGACCGGAATACAGTTATCCTCACAGGGGTGATATCTGCCAGGATATATATGTATGCAGGCTTAGGGAAAAGCACGGTGCCAACGAAACATTCAAAATGAAGGAAGTAGTTAATAACTGGCACTGAAGAACGAGAAAAAATGTTTTGGGGACACCAACAATGTTTCCGGGTTTGTTTGTCCCTTAAGGGACAGGGCAATTTCATTGACACATCGCACGGTATTCACGACACAGGTTTCTTTCATTTAGTTTCATTTCGGCCCGGGGTGAATACCTAAGGAGGATACGTACTGCTACGCAACGTCTCCAGTTACCTTGAAGAAAGCCAGCTGTCGCCCAGTGGGATCAAACTTAGATAAGCCTGACCCTGATGCCCCCTTCTCTTCAAATCCACCACACAATCTCTATTCCACCTCATTTATTCCATTGTGTAATGAAGAGCAGAAGGGGTAAACCCCACAGTTAAGAGGAGGCACTATTCACCTACTAGGCAGGCTAAGCCCTGCGACTTGAAGTGGCCAACCATATAAAGCCACAATGGAAACGACGTGGTAATGAGCCGGACGACAATGAAGCCACCCACTAGCGAAGTTGGATGATGATGGTGGTAGGGTTCGAACCCCATACCTCTGGGCCAAGAGTAGGCTAGTGACAACGAAATAATCGGTTTGACTACTATCAACAGATATGAATACTGTGAGAACCAGTGCAACATGAACAGCAAAACCAAGAAGACAAAGGACAGGGAAAAAAATCGACAGAACGGGCAGAGTTGATAAAATGAGACAATGTTGTTATCTAGCTGTGCAACACCTACGTAGCTGCTAAAGGAATGCAGTTTATGTCGTTCACTTTAGCAGCGCCTGTTCCAGCAGCGTAGTTTCAACCCGAAAAAGAACCTGTAATGATGTGAATGAAACTCAATTTACATGATGTAATTCAATACAGAAAGTGTTTTTCAGTATTTTATTGAGGATTTCAAGAGAATGAGAGGGCCATTGTTTTTATCCTATTAGATTCAATACACCGACATCCAATGAGATCAAATAAAAGAAGGTATCTCCAGGTGAACCGATGCACTGAACCATGTGCTAATCAGACCAGACAGGTAAGCTCTAGAACAGAATAACACCCAGTAACAAGTGAGATTCACAATAGGGGATGAAGAACCAGATAAGTATCGAAAGATATCGTTTACCACATGGGTACCTCAGATTTTGCCCAAGGAATGCTCCGCGAGGTTTGTTTGGCAATCGTAATAAAAAACTTCGACCTGAAAAACGGCGCAACAAGAACGAAGGAGAACACCAACAGCAGAACCAATACGGGCAACCAAATGAGACCGTAGAGGCAGACTGACTGCGATCTATCCACTTTGAGGGGGGGAGGGGGTAATCTGTATGCGTTTATTGTGGAAAAAAGAAGTAGACAATTCAGGACACTAGTGGTTGGCGCGTGAGCAGCTTGGGTGAACAGTTGCTGACCAGTGAAGTATGGAGACTTTACCCCATTCTTGAGCGTACATTTCAGGAATCCCGCTCAGGCCTTTTAAAGGTTGTTAATGCGTAAACTGTTTCTCCGAAGTGATTTACAGTGGTATCTTACTCGTGTACGGCTTTCTGTTGATGAAAATCAGTAGCCACTGTGACCATCTNGGCTGCGCTGGTTTGATACTGAATTCACAATGAAAATCTGATCTAAGATAGGAAAAGTCTCGTGGAGGATACCGGAGCAAACAGGCACGAGAGTACCAGTGTGCACATGTCCCGTGCTGTGGTCAAATTGATTCGGTTATCTATCTGTTATCTGCTAATCTTTGAAACCAATCAAACCTAATTTAGTTGATGTGACGACTATCCTTGCAGTTCGATGCTCCATTTTTGACAGGTGTTGCGTTTCGGTCCGGTTGAACAAAAAATGGAAGCGTAACCACAAATCCCAGACAAAGTAAGCTGATCACGAAGATAGTGAGACGCAATTTCTGCGATGCCCCCTGTCTACAACAATAAAACGGTGGTCCATTGAAATGCAGTAATCTGAATCGTATGAGAATTGAATTGGGATCGCGATACAAACCAACGAAAGAAAAATTCTGTACCGCACAATTCGATCATGTGTCCGTGGGAGATGGGGGTAATGGATGAAGTACTTACCCAGTCCTTCGTGGCGTAACTGGAAGTTTTCGTCGTCAAACTTTCGACCGTAGATTGATTTACCACCGGTTCCATCGCCCTTCGTAAAGTCACCACCTTGACACATCTAATTTGTAGTAATGTGGTGAAGGATACGATAGCTAAATATTGAAAGTAAAACTGTTCCACAAGAAATTGAAATGCCCTTAGGCAACCTGATAATGGCGAATCTAGGCATGTAAAGTGATGGTGATGATATATATATATATATATATATATATATAATAATTAGTGTGAATGACTGGATAAAATTTCCCTGGGAGCATACGACCGGTTTCGCGATTCTTGCCGCTCGTCAGGCATGCGTATCCGGTAATCTTTTGTCAGTTC